GCGTCCGCCCAACTTCCCGCCTGGTAAGGCGTTGCGGTTTAGCAAGACGTCGCATAATAGACTTTGTTGACATTAGATTTTGGAATATTACAATACGTTTTAGATTTAGATTTATTTAGTAAAAAAAAAAAACAGTAAATACTGTATGTGACCTATTGCCTCGCTCATCAACTTCGTATCTTTGAATCGACTGTAGCCCATGTTCTTATTCTATTGAAATTATGTCTTTATTCTTTCAACTTCTAAGCACCTATGCATCCCGAATATTAACACCAGTATTTCAAAATAATAGCATTTCTATTTGTTCGTATTTCAATTTTTACGTCACGTATTAAACTGTATAATACGTCGACAAGTTCAGTATTCCATTTTGCTCGGCCTCTTTTGTTTTTCTCCCTTGTGTTATTCCAAAGTTATTATTATTATTATTATTATTATTATTATTATTATTATTATTATTATTATTATTATTATCATTATTGGCTTATTACTGACCACACTACACGATTAACGTGTGCAGTTTTCTCAGGATCAGCTATATCTCTCATTATGTCACTATATTATCTCATATATATCACGGTTATTTCGTCTTGTGACGTGTGAATTATGAGATGGTAGGATGATGATGACGAGTAAAGGGACAATCACAAATATGACCATGTCTACGCAGGACTCGTACCTGCAGCCGCCTCGGCAGAGACAACGGCTGCCGCAGCAGTCTGCACCACGGGGCCGAATTATTAATATTATGATTAACATTATTATTATTGTTAATATTATTGTTAACAATATTATTAACATTATATTTAATTTTATTAAAATTAATAATATTACTCTTATTCTTCATATTGTTGTTGTTATTATTATTTACACCACCGAGATTATTGATGTGAAAGAGCGAGGATATTGCTGCCCCCAAAACTTCCTTCGTAGTTGACACTGCAGGTTAGAAAGACCTTGAATGACAGAAGACATTCTGAACATGCTTAGTTTATTAACCTTACAAACATTCTAACGTCATGTACACTACTAAACATGCACTTTTCTATGTTTGTTTTCCCATTATCACATTACATACAGAGACACTTCCGTGTAACAGACAGCAATGAGGAAACCAGTGGTGCTAAAACTAGCACATACTTTCTAGCACAGAGTGACTGATACGAGACATTATAATACCGCAATTGCTGCCCATATTAACACATCTCGGTTATCACTTGTAAAACTCATTAAAACTCAAAAGGTACAAGAACTCATTATTTTAGAGCTAATATATCAACACAAATCTCTTTAGTTATTTACGCCTAAATAATTACTAGATTCCGGAAATTCATTCAGTAAAGATTCAGTTAAAACTATGCATTAGTTCATTCAGTTAAAACTATGCATACAACCATGCTCTTAATGTTGGAAATAAAATTCTATATTTTTGTTTAACCATATTCTCAGATTTAAGCCAATATATTGGCTATTTTAAAAGCATATATTACAGGCATTTAAAATAGTCATTGCCAGTAATTCCTCGTCAAATCGCACACTCACAAAACATCACTATTTTGTAGGGGTTTGAAACTTTTTTTTCGGTCTAGGGTTGAAAAGAGGTGACACGTATAATATTTTAACTTTAAGCACAAATACATTTTCCTTCACAAAAATAAAATTACACTTAAATTTAACTTCAAAATATGTGTTTTATGTGATTTAAATATAATATTTGTAAATATATTATTTAAATATTTAATATACATTTTAATTTTTAAAATACTAATTTTTACTCTAGAACGACACTTAAATTAATTGTAAAAAATACCAATGTATTTCTGCACTAATGTATAAATCTGCCAAATTTCAAAGTAGGATACATATAAATAACATTTTAAAGAATTGTTTGTTCACCAGAGAACTTAGGTGACTCGCAGCTGGAACTACAGGGTGTCAATGACAAGACGCATTGTGACATTGACATAAAGCAACTGTGAGACATGTCATGTTATGAATTGCAGAAACACAACGGACTCAAATAAAAGGCCTCTGTCGAGATACGACTATTAAGTTTATTTATAAACAACTGACACTGCTAGGGTCTGCCTGAAACGGAGCAACTTCCTTTTCAGATATACTGAGTCAGTAGTGTAAACAGACGAATCCGAGAAACATGTGCGTTTTTCTGTGAAATTGGTAAACACAGATGGTTTTACAATAATATCAATACTATTGTTATTTGCATTTTCGTAATATGAAGATCTATAATTGGAGAAGTATACGTTTACGTTGTTATTAGTAGGTTATTATTAGGTTATTGTTAGGTCCATTGTATTTAACTTACCAAATGATCTCAATAACCATCTTTGTAACTTACCAAACTTATGTAAAATGTTTAAGAAATTTTAATGATATTTTTTCGAATTCTTTAACTGTTAAGTTTTGGGGAAATTAAAAATAAAAATAAAATAGGTCAAAAATGATTTTAAAAAATTATGAATTCAATATATACATCAAATAAAAGAATATCTTTTGTTCTTTAATGCCGTAAAATACTGAATTTCTGTCTCAATTACAACACGAGTTAAAAATGATTAACTTTTGCAATGCGAGCATTTTTCTAAGAATTTTGAAAATATAATCTCAGAAAGTAATATTTGGGAAAAAATGAAAAACACATGTTACATATTTTTGGTTATACTCTTCACCGCGCGCATATCCATTAATATAAATATTAGAAATTAGAATGGTCTGTAAGTCCTGGATGAAATTCTCAAATCAACATATAGTCCAAATTAATCATCTAGATATTACTTTGCTCTTCGATTAAATGAATGCAAGAAAGCATTTCCTTCCTTTGCAATATTCGTATCGCTTACGGAATATTATATTGCATTACAGCTTAATATTGATACAGAGAGATTCATCCGTCGTACAGAACCCTATGATAGAGAACAAAGTTATTAATGAGTGCAAAAGAAAATAGTGTAAACTCTATTAAAAAAGTTTTTGTCAGTGGTCAATTTTTTTGCAAAAAAACAGCCCAAATATTACATTGAATATTGTCCTCTGTTGCTATTTCGCCTTCTTTTCTAACAAATATGAAAAGAGAGAGAAAAAACTATTATTTTACTGTTATTTAGTTTATCATATTTGCGTATGCAGCCAAACTTTCGCGTTTTCATCTTGAGTAAAAGGGTCTCTCCAAGTGTTCAAAATGGCTTCCTCCTGCGCGAACGCAAGATTAGCATCTCTGCCTTACGGCCTCCGTGACGCGCACAACTTTTCAGGTTTTAATTCTGCCGCCACGCCTTCAATACGCCAAAGAAGTTCATCACGATTATCTACTTCGGTAGCGTAAGCGCGTTTTTTTTTATTAATCCCCAGCGTTGAGAGTACCTGAGTTATAAAATTCAGATGCTGAACGCCTCTTAAACGATCGGGCGAGAAGTGAGGATCGAGGATAAATTCACCCACAATGCCAACCGACACATTTAGAGAGAATCGCTCTTGGTGAGCTACACTACGTGCAACATGCGGATTTTCATCTGCCCTCTCGTGCAAATTGTGCACATTAATTGTGCTACTTCTTGTAAAACACGCTTCACTTGATCACAGAACGAAATTCCTGGGTTTCTTTGCCTGATGGCCTGAGTATCGTCACGTAAAATAAGGCATCAATTCAATTCAATTCAATTCTTTGCATTTGCACAGGAAATTCTCAGATAATTGAAGACAACGTTGGCTATGGAGGGACTGTGATGCGTTGACCTGGCGCGCTATTTGCGTTGTGATAGCTTTCGAAGCTTCCCGGATAGTATGAACTGAGTTTTCCAGAGAAGTGGCGAGCATTAACGCGAGGTAAAGCCGCTCGCTCAGCAAGTAGCCACGAACACAAGAGCATAGTCCAAAGTTTAACGTTAATTATTTACAAAACTAAACGACGAAAAGTAGCCAATTTTGGCGAATTCAGTCTGTACATTACATACGGAATACGATCCCGGCGTATTAGCAACGAGGACAAAAATCACCCTGTATAACTTTTCGTATATAAGATCATGAGTTAATAAGATATAAGTTTTCATTCTACCATTTTAATTTTAAGTTAATTTATTAAGTTCATTAATATTAATTTCAACAATGAAAATAAATTTTCAGAATATCCAACTGCCTCTTGGTGCCTCGCAAATTACTATTACTGATTGACACCGCCTCAAATGAAGCGCGAAATTCGATTTTCCATTTCAATTCTTCAAATTTCCGCACAAAATTCTCATTTTTACGAAAAATTAATCATCCCCTCTTTTGATGATGGTTTTAATGAGCACAAGTTGTTTAAGAAATATCTTCAAAACTGTAATTGTGAAAATAATATTCTATTTTTGCATTTTCGGAGTCATTGATTTCAACGAAATGGGACTTCAACCATTGTCTTTTATGGTATATGAGGTCAAATTTTAATAAAAAAAATAGTGATTTCTTAAAATTAGTAATTTTAAGAAAAAAACTTAAAAAATAGAACATGACATTATTTGGAGATCTGTTTTTGATTAACACATTTCATTATGAAAAAAAATATCATTACTGTAGTTGCACATAGAGACCGACAAAATTTGCAATTTTCGAAAAATCTGATATGTGCATCATTCTCTTAAACGTCCTTCAGACTATCCAATAACAACATTTAATCAAAATCTACGGAGGCATTTTTTTCATTTTGAAATCTCCCAGGGGATTCCTGTTTATCCCTATAATTAAATTCAAGGAACCGCGGTATCAGCCAGATCGATTGGGGAATATCAATTTTCGAGAAAGTCAGCTGTACGGTATAGCTGCTAGTATTGTTCTGAGACGGACAGACGTTTTGTCGGAAAATTTCTGAAACCTTTGGAAGATTTCAGAAACCTTTTGGAAGATTTCCGAAACTTTTGGAAGATTTCCGAAAGCTTTGGAAGATTTCCGAAACCTTTTGGAAGATTTCCGAAACCTTTTGGAAGATTTCCGAAACCTTTTGGAAGATTTACGAAACCTTTGGAAGATTTACGAAACCTTTGGAAGATTTACGAAACCTTTTGGAAGATCCAGCATGGTGTGTGTGTGTTGCAGGCCCACCGCGGCTGCCGGTGTGGGGCAGCTACTGGCTGCTCCTGCTGCAGGACGCGTGCTGGCTGTACCGCTCCGCGTGGGCCATGGCCGACCGCTACGCCTCCAAGGTGATCGGCTTCTACCTGGGCGCCTTCCCCACCGTGGTGGTGCACGGGCCGGAGCTCACGCGCGAGATGTTCAACCGAGCGGAGTTCGCCGGCCGCCCCGACACCGTGCTCACCCGCGTGCGCGCCTTCGGCAAGCGGAGGGGTGAGCCTTCGCACCCACCTAAGCAACGAGTTGGAACTTGCATGCATGCAAACATTGTTCAAATCCAGTGTTTCCAAATATATAGGATGAATCTATTAAATTAAGAGAACAGCGTTTGGTGGTATCCTTCCTATTAGTATTTTTAGTCAGAGGAAGAACAGGTTTTGTAAATCGAAAAATATATCACTTTTATTATTAACTTCCGGTTGCTTTCTATCCATATGTAGTTCTATATGCAGCTTTGTAGAGCGTTTGGTTCATAATGTTATTTTTTGGAAATTTTCTAAAAAAAAGTATTTTTACTGCTCCGTCTCCCCATTTAATTTGATTAAATCGATCGTGAGCTGCAAAAGTGGCACAACTAAAAAAATGAAGTGTTGAGACAAACGAGTTTAAAGTTCCACCTTGTATTAAAATGCATCATTCATGCATTCACACATCTGCCATTCGTTGGTGGAATACTATATTGAAAGATAAGATGTTGTTGCTGCTGGAAGGAAGACCAATCCGCAATTCTAGAGAGCGCAATGACTAAAAATTTGTGTATTTTTTGAGTTGTGTCGCTATACGTGATATAATGCTCCCGCGAAATGTTTAGTTTTAGACCTGTGGGTACGAGATATTCAAGACCCATCTTGCAATGCGGAAAAACGCAAGTGGAGTGCGCGCGCGCATGCGCAGGGCTGTTCTTCACGGACGGGGCGTTCTGGGCGGAGCAGCGCCGCTTCGCCCTGCGCCACCTGCGCGACTTCGGCTTCGGGCGGCGCATGGCCTGCGCCGAGGACACGCTGCGCGACGAGGTGGAGGAGCTGCTGGCGCTCGTGCGCGGCGAGTGCGACGACCAGGTCAGTCCCCATCCTCCTTCACCAGATAACCATCACCGACTCCGAATATCCGCCACCATCACAAAATCTCCTCCATGATCACTAAATCAACATCACCACCTCATCACCAAATCAACATCACCACCCCATAACCAAATCACCACCTCCATCACCAAATCAACATTACCACAACCAAATCAACATCACCACCCCATCACGAAATCAACATCACCACCTCATCACTAAATCAACATCACCACCTCATCACCACATCAACATCACCACCTCATGACCAAATCAGCATCACCAAATATCTACCACCATACCAAATATTCACCCATTCGTCATATCTCCACCACATTCAAATTTTCACAACCATCACCAAATCTTCACTGCCATCACCAACCCTTAACGTCCATCAGCAAATTACCATCATTGGCAAATCTTCATTTAACATCATCTTGTCTTTTCTCACAGGAGATACATCCTTGGATTTCTCACTGAACGTACTAATTTTTGGGGACATTTCAGAATTCGGGTTTATTTTCTTCTTAACCTTAGGAACCCTCGGAATATTATTTTCATAAATACAAATCCCACATTAACTTTACTCTTGCTTATTCATCAATTTGAAAGATTCTCAATGTGCGATTAACCGGTTACTGTACATAACACTTTTTGGGTACGGTTCAGATTTAATTTATTCCTAACCTTAGGAACCCTCGGAATATTATTTTGAAAAATCCAAATTCCCCATTAATTTTACCGTTGCTAAAACACGACTATGAAAGAAGTTCAATGTGCGATTAACCGGTTACGGTACATGACTCTTTTTGGGGACTTCATTCCTCGTTAACCTTGCTGTTCGCCTTACTTCATCGTGACTGCTCCTCTGTGCCAGGAGGTGGCGTCGCACGGGTGCGTGCTGCTCCCGGACGCGCTGCACGTGCCGTTCGTGAGCCTGCTCTGGTCCATGTTTGCCGGACGGCGCTTCACGCGCGCCGAGCACGCCCAGGTGCGCGCCGTCTCCAAGGCCGCCGCCACCTTCGCGCGCAACGTGGACCCCATGGGCGGCGCCGTCTCGCAGACGCCCTGGCTGCGCCACCTCGCGCCCAAGGCCACGGGCTTCCACGGCGTCAAGACGGCCGGCGCCGTGCTCACCGACCTCGTCAAGGTACGCTTATTCATTCCATTCTATTGGCTCTTTGTTTTGCGTGCTCATCAACCTCGTCCAGGTACGCTTATTCATTCCATTCTATTGGCTCTTTGTTTTGAGTGCTCACCGACCCCGTCAAGGTACGCTTATTCATTCCATTCTATTGGCTCTTTGTTTTGAGTGCTCACCGACCCCGTCAAGGTACGCTCCGCCATTCCATCCTATTGGCTCGTTGCTTTGTGTGCTCACCGGCCTCGTCAAGGTACGCTCCGCCATTCCTTTCCATTAGCTCCTTGCTTTGCGTGCTCACCGGCCTCGTCTAGGTACGCCCTTCCATTCCACTCCAAGCGACGAGCCAATAGCTCCTTGCTTTGCGTGCTCACCGACCTCGTCAAGATACGCCCTTCCATTCCACTCTATTGGCTCGTCGCTTGAGTGCTCACCGACCTCGTCAAGGTACGCTCCGCCATTCCATTCTATTGGCTCTTTGTTGTGCGTGCTCACCTTTCTCGTCAAGGTACGCTCATCTATCCCATTCCATTAGATCCTAGCTTCTCTAGCTTCCATTAGCTGTGTGCTCGTGGACCTCGTCTTGGTGCGCGCCACTGATTTTATTTATATTATTTAGTCAAAGAGAGTAAAAACTGTAGCGTTCGCGGTATAACAGCAAAACAGTCTGTTGTACCTACATTTGCGCGCCCGATTTCAAGCCCGACCCAAGTCATGAAGTTTTAAGGGTGAATAAATACTTCGTACACCTTTCTTCAGAAGGAAAGTAAATTCGTCTGTCTCATATTGTAGATTTAGTGCATGTAAAATATCCTCAAGTCTAAAAGAAGCTTTTGGGCAAAATTCGAATCGGCTCTTTCGTCACCAGAGTTATACGTTCTTTCTCCGCTAGATGGTGAAAGAAGCGAAGCGAAATTTGTGTGGTCAAACGGAATAACGGACATGATGGCCCGAATCTGGCCACGTAAAATAAAGTAAGAACTGAAATGAACAAAACTAAAAGCTGTATGTCACGTATGTGGGAAAAGTAGCATCTGCAGACGTTTTTATGAGCTTCAGAATTTCTTCCCAACATTTTGACTATAAATATTAGAATGATTGTTATATATTTTCAACTTCGATAAATTGGTAACTTGATAGTAACTCGATAATTTGTCCTTTCATCCTTCACCACTAAATTATGTATTTTTATTTCTATTACGTGTAATTTTTTACTTCAATTTTGAATTCCGGATTTTTTCTTTGAACATAATATTTTTTTCCAAATGTCGCAATCCTTCAGGCGGCTCTGATGTAAGGAAACAACAGCAAGGCACTGAAACGCACTCTGGCCTTGTTTGTGCGCAGGCTGCTTTGGACGAGCACGTCAAGGATTTCAACATGGACGAGGCGCCGCGGGACTTCATCGACCACTACCTGGCGCAGATCACGCGCGACAAGGCGGACGGGGTCGACTGCGACAGCACCTTCTGCGGTGAGCTTCCGCGAACGTACGGGGCACTACGAATTTGCTTCTGATATCCACACGTCAAAAGCACTTCGAAATCATCGAAGTTTTGAAATTATCAAAATACGAGCGAGGCCCCATTGGAATCCAGAATTTAAAAATCAGATAATGATATTTATTTGGTCTTACGCACTGCTACTGGTCTCTGGCGCAATATATTAGGAACCAATCTGTTCTTAGCGACAGGCAACCGCACAGCTACTGACTCCTGGTTGAAAAATTAGGAACCAATCTGCTCTTAGCGATAGGGAAAAGTAATCATCGTTGTGAATCTACCGACATATTATTTAAATTATTTTTCCCATATTTATGTTGTATTAAGTTTTACCAAACTTTGCAAGGTTAATGTGACAATTCTGACGAAGAACTGTAAAAAGTTCGTATCTATTTATGCTCTAGTTTTTATGTTATCGATGTCAGTTACATGTCATTGAATTCACTTTTATTAGTAGAGATGTAACTGGTTATACGAGGAGCCAGAGGTTTATGGAAGGCTACCTTACCACATGATGTATAGACTACATAAACGTTGAAATATCTTTTACGCGCTATTGTGTACAGCATTCAAGGTAAGATAAGGTTCAACATGTGTCAAGATGCCAAGCGCACGAAAATGCGGTGGGAGTTTTGAAACAGTGTCGTGCCCTTACAACGCTATGTAGGTCGTTATCGTCGTTTCCCCAGGGTCATAGCTGTAGGAAATACAAACGTTTACGCTACAAAGCTCATAACTGAGTGTATCTGGCAGTGCATAAGTTGAAAGTTTTGTCACTGTGTGGCGAGTTATCTCTCTCTCTTTCTTTCGTTCTCTCTATTTCTTTCGTTCTCTCTATTTCTTTCGTTCTCTCTATTTCTTTCTTTCTCTCTCTTTCTCTTTCTTTCGTTCTCTCTTTCTTTCGTTGTCTCTCTCTCTTTCTTTCGTTGTCTCTCTCTCTTTCTTTCGTTGTCTCTCTTTCTTTCGTTTTCTCTCTCTCTTTCTTTCGTTTTCTCTCTCTCTTTCTTTCGTTCTCTCTCTCTTTCTTTCGTTCTCTCTCTCTCTCTTACTTTCTCTCTCTCTCTTTCTCTCACTTTCTTTCTCTCTTTCTTTCTTTCTCTCTTTCTTTCTTTCTCTCTTTCTTTCTTTCTCTCTTTCTTTCTTTATCTCTCTCGTTCTCTCTTTCTCTTCGATATTTCTAAACGTTCGAATGTTAATTTTTTGTCGTGATCATTTTTCCGCCGTCGTAGTTTCTATGAATTATGAAAACTAATTTCAACAAATACGCAAAAAGATTCTACGTAATGAGTTGTTAACTAATTTTGAAGTTTGTAAAAAGAAATAAAACTACATAGATGGCAAATGACAGGCGGAAGATGAATATGAACTTTATTATGAGCTTAGGTAACTAAAATCTCTCAGCCTTTCTTGAGACAGCTCGGTGGTGTACATGATACGATTTATAGTTATTTTGTTGTATTTACATCCTATTCGTTTTCCAGAGAATTTCATAATTATTTTATAAATTTCATCCTAGAATAATTAATTTTGAAATGTTGTATTTGTGTGGTACCGTATGTTAAATTATATTATAATGAAATAATGGAAGTCATCTCCGTCAACTTAATAGATTTATTTAGAGAGCAGGCTTTCATTGGCTTTGCCGTCATTGTCTACAAATATAAATAAAACAGGATATAAATAAAATACAAAGTAAATACAAAAAAGATGATAATGTGTAGAAAGGGGGAGGATAATATAAATAATTGATACATTTAAAATTATAATTATTACAGACAAATAGCCACTGAAATTACAAAATATGGACAACAATGAAAGAAAACTCAAATAATTAAATTGCAATAGATGCATTTAAAAACGATAATAATAATTTAAAATCAATAACACATGATATTACAAAAAGTGGAAAAGAATATGTTGAGCCGCTTAGTTCCCTGTATGTGGCAAAAGTCGGGATACTGTGCGCAGGGGGAATTTGAAACAGGGTTTAATTAGCTTTCTAGAGGTGCAGGCACCTTTATACTTATTATCTTAATTTATATTTATTTTGTATTTTATTTATATTTGCAAACTGATATTGACGACAAAACTGTCGACAGCCATCTCTCTAAATAAAAATATTAAGTTAACGGAGATGACTTCTGTTATTTCTTCATGTAGTTACGTCAACAATACCACATTTGCCTTACCACAATTAATCATATTTCATTATTGCTAACGAACGACAAAAAGAATAAATTCACTCTCTCCTTCGTTGAAAGTTTGCAAGTATCGAATTATACATCGGTTTACTCTTGTAGATAACTCGCCGAGTGTCTGTTCTGTACGAGAAGAAACATTTTGTGAATGAAAATAATTATTTCATGTAGATCCACCAAGATAACTTCTCTACTTCTGGCCTCTAGCTAACGAAATGATAAACTGAAAATTCAGAGAATGTTATATTAGGGAAAAGAGATTTTTGAATTTTTTGTAAACTCTACTAAATATAGAAGAAAAGTTTTTGAGAATCATTATAGAGGATTTTTTTTATTATGCCAGAATTCATAAAAACAGTATTTGAAACCTCCGATCCTTATCACAAACGTTTTTGTTTCTAAAAGGTGTATCATTTAGATGCAAAGAAAAACGTTCACGGCCAAAAATTGAACTTTAAATTTTCATATTCTTCTAAAAATACCCTTGGACTGTGTGCTTCAGTACTGGCGTGATTTCGAAGACAGTTATTTTCCTTCCCTGCTAGCTTTAACATTTCAAGCTACCATTCCTTGTTTGCTGAAGATATTCTCACTTCACAAGCACACTACAGACTTTCACACTTACGTTCGCAAGATGAAGTGCATCTCCCAAGTGCATCTCGCTCCACCCCGTTTTCTCATCTTCCTGTTTTTGTTTTTGTTTTCACTTTTCGACATTATTATTTACTTTAAAAATCACTCCTTTTGCGCTACATCTTCTCCACTTCCCTTTATCTTCTTCTCTTTATCCTTTCATCTTCTCCTCTTCATTGCTTTTCCTTGCCTTTTCCTCTTCTTCTTCTTCTTCTTCTTCTTTTTTCTTCTTTTTTTCTTCTTTTTTTCTTCTTTTTTTCTTCTCCTTCTTTTTCTTCTTTTTTTCTTCTTTTTCTTTTTCTTCTTCTTCTTTTTCTTTTTTTCTTCTTCTTTTTCTTTTTTTTCTTCTTCCTGCTCTCCCCCTATTCTCTTCTTCCTCTTCCTCGTCCTCTTGTCCTGGCTTCCTCTGGAGCGGCGCGTGGGGTGTGGGTGTGCGCAGAGGAGCAGCTGCAGGTGATGGGCGCGGACATGCTGCTGGCCGCCGCCACCACCACCACCGGCACCATCACCTTCGCGCTCAACTGGCTGTCGCGTCGCCCCGAGCTGCAGCGCCGCTGCCAGGAGCAGCTGGACGCCGTCGTGGGCCGCGCGCGCCTCCCGTCGCTCGACGACAGGGCCAGGTGCGCATGCGCACGCGCTCGCCAGCATGGTCCTCGACTCGGAGGCCCTAGGGTTCTGGATCCGGTGGTGGCGGATATTCGATAATAACCACACTTCTGAGATGAATTCAGCCGCTGTCTGGAAGACAATTCTACTTGCCCTATCCCCTGAGAGGGATTGTTTCCTGGTTTCTCCGATCATTACCAGGAGAATACAGGAGCAGTACCCCAACAAATGAGTTGCGGACCACGCGCGATCTTCCCTTCCTCATTCGTGTCCGCTAATTCCTTACACATATACTGAATTGAATTGATGTCTTATTTTACGTGGCGAGACTCAGGCCATGAGGCCTGCTTTTCCGTCTGACCACGCAAATTTCTTAACGCTCCTTTCACCAACTAGCGGAGAAAGTAGGTATTTCTTGGGCGACGAAACTGGGCTAAATTCAAATTGCTTGAGGCTTAACTTAGTCTTGAGGATCTTTTATATACTATAAATCTACCAACATGGGAGAGTAGACTTAACTTCCCTTTCAAAGAAAAGTGTACGAACGACCCCTCGATCCAGCAGGAGGAACCCTCCTGGGATGTGATATGCACTATACCTACGGAATATATGATCTTAGGACTAATTCTTATTTTAGGATACGACTCTCGTTCATGTGAACCGTTCGTTGGATTCGATTCTAAACAAAGCTTGTAGTGCTCTTTCTTCGCATCGTGTTTGCAACTGCGCAGTGCCACTGTGTTCAAGAATGGAGGTTTTGAACGGGTGTTTCTTTGATGATATGCGAAAAAATTATTCTGTTAATGTTATGAAAGAAGTTTACCCTCTAACAAACAAGTTTAACCAACAAACCATGATCATACACGTTTACCCAAGAACAGACTAAGATATGCTTTTCAACTTTCTGAATTTTAGAGAGCGAACTTTAAAGTTCTTTCTTATAAAAGTGAATTGGTAAGTATGTGGTGGATAGTCTCAAGGTTGTTTATAGTGAACGCAATGGCCGAAGGCCCGAGCCTCGCCGAGACTTGGATCCGGGCGAACGAGGCGAGAAAACTTAACTTTGAAGGTAATTTGGCATTACAATTTGTCGGGAATAAAGTGTATGCGAAGACATTGCAGTGCGGCAGAAGGAACTTAAATCGAAGAATCCGGATCTTTCTCGGCGTAACGCATTTACGTGAACCGTACCCTAAACTAAGAATTAACCGATTTTAGTAACTGGCACATCCCGAATTAATATTCACTCACTCACGAAGAAACGCAAACAATCTGTTCAAAACACTCTCTGTTCAACACTCCCTGTTCAACACACTGTCTTCTCAGATGTGGGCAAGTATAGTTACAACTCTCTAAATAAACATACAATGTAGGCTTTCACGGCCAGTTTCTACATAATTAGACGTTTCCGGGTTTGTAGGTCGTGGTTCAATGGAGACTGGTCCATACGTTTCGCCTGCAACTCTGGCAGGCATCATCAGTGACGTTGACTAGTCAACGTAGTCCTGCCAAGAAAAAGACTTCGCCCCCGCCAGCAACGCCACTGATGATGCTTGCCACAGTTGCAGGCGAAACGTATGGACCAGTCTCCATTGGCCTTCAAACCCGGAAACTTCTAATTATGTCCTGCCTCGGTGACGCAACATTCTCTGCAACATATCCTGAGACAACACCTCTGGGTTCGAGCACTTACATATCTCGTGAATGTGTTTTCTTCTTATAACCATTATCCTATCTAAACCATTCACCCGTTTACTATTCATCCAGCATCACTCACCCTTCGTGATAACTCACACCAGCGACGTGCATCGTAGAAGACCTCGTGACGTACGGTTCGGCTCCTGGTGTGTGCGACACCGTGAAAGCTAGGCGGTGGAGCTCTTGATGTCTAGGACACCTGGCTTGGCTTTCTTGTTGTTTTTCTAGGTTAATGCGCGCAATTTTGAGAAATTTAAAAACTAGCTTGCAGGCGGAGAAATCAGAAATGCACAAGCGTGGATTAGGTTTGTCGCAACGAGAGCTTACATTGTGAACTAGAGAGTTGCTGACAAATTTAAGGAATGCGAAAATGACTATATGTTTGTTAATACACATTTGTCCATATTTCTGGGTGTTCACATTTTCACCACATTGTCCACGTTTTCACACATTTGAGGAAAACGTACACATCTTAGCATATTTCAACATTTTATTTGCAATGTGTTCCGCATTTTGGTGTTTCAAAATAATTCTTGGAAAATTTATTTTAACATTTACTGCAATGTTTAGTGGTGAATTCTGTTTAGAAGTAGCTACGAATTTAACTTTACAATATAATGGAAAATGGTTTTATTGAACTATTACTTCTTGCAATGTTCAACTGCATTTTAAGCAATTATAGTCATTCAGAGATAAAGAAATCAGTTCCACATTTCAACATTTAAAACAGTGTCTTGTAACTCAATGCTGCGTAAATAGCGAATTATCAGAAAAGGCACACGGAACTTATACATTTGGCCATCCTCCCGCTGAAGTTTTCGTCGTCCGCTCTGGAGCAAATTGCTTATAAGAACCCTAGAGAACAGGTTGTAGCATTCCTCATCAGTTCATCAATAATACCAAGAATAATGTGCGTGCCTTGTGTTTTCCCTGGCAGCCTGCCGTTTGTGGAAGCAGTGCTGCGCGAGACTCTGCGTAGGAACACCATGCTGCCTCTTGCCATGCCGCACCTCACCGTGGAAGACACCAAGCTCGACGGATACGACATCCCCAAGGTGACATGGCTGCGCACGAATCTCTGGAAATTCTTCTTCTTCTTCTACTACTACTTCTTCTTCTTCTACTTCTTCTTCTGCTGCTGCTGTTGTTGTTTGTACTCGATATTGTACATCTATTTATATCTCATTCTCTTGTTCGTACGGTTGGTCTTGGTCTTTTGATTCTTTTGAGAATCTGAGATCTTTTTTATTATTTTCGTTCTTCTCTTTGCAGTGCCGTATCCCTAACGGGACGCTAGCAATAGTTAAGAAAATAAATTCTTGACTTTTCTGGGCAAATATGGAGTGATGAATGATGTGAGAATTTGCTGACTTTATCACGGTATCACCTCGGTGGGACGTTGGTTAGCGTGCTCGCTTTCCTCGGTGCAGTCCTGGGCTCGATTCCCTGCCAAAATAATAACTGCGCGCTTTCCTTACTTATGTACCGTACAGTATCGATACAGTATCGATGTAGTATCGATGTCGTATCGATGTAGTAACGATGTAGAAACGATGTAGTATCGATGCCGTATCGATGCTGTATCGATACAGTATAGATGCAATATAGATACGGTACCGTACCGTTACAGTATCTATTGCTATGTGATGATCAAAAAGTCCACCCTGAAGTTACGAAGACCAGAACATACGGTGAAGGAATGTCTTCGTGCTAACCACAGGAATCCCTTATCCCATGGCCCAGAGGCTGGAACACCGCTGGTCGGCCAGAGCCCCGTAGCGGGCTGTCGACCCATACAACAGGACAATCTCTGGTACAAGGACGGTACAGGATGAACATATTCATGCTTTTATATGCTTGCATTCATGTTTTTTTCATCTGAAGGGTTGTGAATTCGAATTCAGCAAAAGGCACGGATGTTTTTAACTAATTACTGATATTTATTATTAACTGTTAAGCCACGCAATGAAAAAGCACGTCACCACGAATTCCGTGTTGTCGACTGTAAAACAACAGATCAAAATATTTTTATTACCTCGTAATTCATTTTTATTTAGGTTTTAGAGAATTTTTAATCAATATTAAAGTTTCTGGACAAAATCTTAAACCGAATCATAATTATTTAAGTTCACTTAAATAATGGATAAAATGTAATTATCACACCAAGAAATATTAAATACTGAAACATGACTACTTCAGAAACGCTTTATATTTTATTAAAACGTTTTACGTACTATCTTAAACGTCATACGTTAATATATTTTCATCTGTTACTTTCCGTTGAACTCTTCATTCATCGTTTCAAAATTGCTCAGGAAAAAGGTGAATTTTTCTGCTTTTTTCACCAATATCCCCGTAGGAAGCAAAGAATAGTTATTTATGCTCTAAGGGCGTTTTAAAGGTTCTAATGAACGAACGGCGACAAAGAAGACAAGGATTTTTTGGTCACGTGAGGTCATTACAAACAGTTCACGCCTGTGGCACATACATTATTTTATTTTTTACCGAATTTTATTGCTTCACATTATATTTACTAATTAACTAGTTGTTAACTAGACTCAGTTTGTCTTTTCATATTTCTCTCCCATAATTCCCTCATAATTTCCTCCATAAGGGAACATGTAGTGCCATTCAACTGTCGAAGGAATCGAAGGAAATCACAAGCAATAACGCATTTGTATAAAATAAAAAATATAAATGCCCACGTGTTTGTGGCGTTTTTCTAGAACACCCTGATCTTCGCCAACGTGAACTCCGCCCACATGGACAAGGACTGCTGGGGCGACCCGGAGGAGTTCAGGCCAGACCGCTTCCTGGACGAAAAGGGCGAGCTGCTCAGGAGGGATATCACCATGCCCTTCGGCGCAGGTTCGTGCTCTAGAAGGGCGTCAGGTGCCTGCCTGGATACACGAGGTCGCTAAGGCCGAAGGGCCGTAGTTGCCTCGGCTCGGAGGGTTGCGGGTTCGAATACCGCCTCGGGCTTGGATGTTTGGGTGTCTTCGTGTTGTCCTTACGTGTCCTTCCTGTAGTTTCCCCTGCAGATAAAACAATCACAGTGGTTGCTATGTGATCAAGTTGTTAAAAAGCGGCCTTTAAAAAAGGTCAGTTGTAGTGACGTTCTTTTAACGCGCCCGAGACGACTGGCTGGAAGATGCCTACGTGGCCGTGTTGCATTCTGTTTTTACGACCCAGGCTTCCGTTGAATCATACGAATTTAGGGAGTTTCCAGCAGGTGCCCCAATGAATGATTGTAACGCCTGGGCGACGCTATTACCGTTCTTTATTTATATATGAACATTAACAATTCCAGACATACAATACTTATTTTGTAAACATTTACGTTTCTCTGTTTAACAATGTTTCGAAACTCTTTGTGGCTCCATCATCAAGTAAATCTTACCTTTCTTCATTAGAAGTCCCCTTTGGTCACTATACCCTTCGGGGGGAATAGGGAGTATTAATGTGTCATATAATGCGTCAGGTGTAATGAGTAACATTTTGGTTCAAACATATTGTCAATCTTCAATGAAAATTCCTTTTCTGGTAAACAAGTACCCAACATGTTCTGTATACTTCAATTGTTTTTGGATATTGACGCAGTGTCAGTGGAAGTTTTAAAAAGAACTCGGAACACAACGTCGAAATAACGATTGTGAAATAAAGACGGTGTTTATAACAAGTTTCGTCCTCATAAAATAGGATGCCATCTTTTTTTAGAGGTTAAAATCAAAGACGATTAAACAACATAAAGATCGAATGGAGACACATTTCATTGCACGCACTGCTTGTTCTTGTGGCCTGCACCGCTGGAAAATGCGCCACGATTACGTTTTGCGTGGTGAGCCCTGAATGCTTTTCAAATACACTGCCACAAGATGCATACAGTAATACTCTTCTGCTTGTATTATTGTGTGCTCTAAGTACGTGTTGTCTGCACTGCAGGCATGCGGAAATATTAGTTCCTTCTCTTCGTATCCCGGTGTTTCATGAATGTTTCATGGTGGATTTGCTACGAGATGCGGAATGATATGCCTTCTTGTGTCATGTTGAACCTTGTGTGCTTATTGGCCAAAGTGTTGAATCATATATGTACTCGTATAATATTATCTATTAATCTGCATGTGTCATGGTGATTCATAAGTGTTTGCAATCTGAAATACGGAGAAAGAAGTCACTTTAGTTATGATACTTCTCTTAGTACCACGATGGGCATTGAAAGCTGCCTAACTGCTTTGCAAAAGATTCCTGTCGTATACTCTTTTTTGTATTAAAAGGAGCCCTGAATATTTATTGAAGATAGTGTGACGAGAATGGAGTAACTGCGTACTATTTCACGCATTTCAAGACCGCGCCATTCAAAGTGTAAGCGATGCAACGCTCAAAGACAGCATTTGTGAAAGGGTGGAAAAAATGTACGCAGTTTTAATACCTGCATTAATTTTTACATTTTTATATTAAACGAAAAGAGTTTACTCTATTATTTATGACTACGGAAACTCTTTTAGTGTTAAATTATGGGTAAAAAACAATACACTAATACATAAGTATAAGATATACAATTTTTGGAGATTTTACCAATTTCGTGTAACACAATATCGGTTACTTTTAATACTCATACGACAACTGTGAAGTCGCCACTTGACTCCGATTTACAAACTTTATTATGTCCACGACGTTTTGTTGACAATATCTCAGATTCAGAAAATAGAAACATGATACTTGACTACGTTCAGTTATCTCAAAAAATAAAATGAAGCTTAATAAAACCTATGTAACAAAATTCGAAATATTAGTCTGGTCGCAGAAAGTTACTACTGCGGTGAATTGTAGAACAAGGTTTGAGAAATAGGGCAAAATTAAATTTTTCACTTAGCTGCTTTTATAGTATAAGTAGAAAAAATAGGCGACATTACTTTCTGTGTGACCTACGTACTTTGACGCGGTCCTGTTTTTCACATCATTGCAACCAAGCATTCAGGGCTCACTGCGATGCAAAGAGACGAAACTATTCTTCGATTTATTTACAGAGTCAGTTGACGTAAATCTGTTGTTACGGTGTCATGCATTCGAGAGTTTAAACGTCACTACTGTTTGTGGCTCCCGATTGGATGACACCGTAACAGCTGATTTACGTCAACTGACTCTGTTTGAATCGAAGTATAGCATTGTGGGCAACAAGAAGTCGGAGAAGACGAGGTAAGCGTTGACAAGCGAAACGCGGCGCGCGCTGCCCGCAGGCAAGCGGCTGTGCCCGGGGGAGACGTTCTCGCGCCAGAGCATGTTCGTGGTGCTGGCGGCGCTGCTGCAGAACTTCTGCTTCGAGCTGGCCAGCGACAAGGTCACGCCCGACTGCTGCCTGCCGGGCCTCACGCTCACGCCCAAGGACACCTGGATGCGCGCTACGCCCCGAGCGTAGGCCCTGCGGCGCTCGCACGGACCTGGACGAGCGGCGCGCGGGTAGTGTTGGAAGATTTTTCTATTTCTATTTAATTAGCTGCGTCTTTTTACGCATCACGTCTCTTAGCCCACATGGGCACTTTTTGTCATTGAGTGGTTCTGGAATTATCCTCCATTTTATCCGAAGTTTATTCGGTCCTCCAAGTTTTATTCGAAGCAATTGTTTGAATGCGCATAACAGTAGATGGTATATGTCGATGATCTTTTTTAGAATATTTCAAATTAAAATAAATCTAGAGATTTTTGGTTTCTTGAGACGATTCGACTTTATGAAAACTCAATCTACTTCTCATAAAACTTGCGCCATTAAGATATAATTACATGGATCCGGTCCCAAGTACTAGTCTATCGATTTTATGTCGGATGATCGATTCAATATTCTTTAAGGGAGTTTTTTAATTATAATAAATCTTTTGTAGCTGTTAATTTGTATTGCTTTTTCTGAAGAATCGGTTTTCGCTAGAGAATTGATTTGGTAATCAAATTTTCAATGGAGTTCTAAATAAAAGCCCCCTAAGAACTGCATTAAAATTTTGAATTATATTAACTTACTCAAAGAAAACCTTAAAATTAATTCAAATTCGAAAAATAATATAATAAATCTCGGATAAATGAAAAAGAATATTAAATGCTATTTTTAGAGAGACCAAACGATAAAAAACACAATCGAAGGCTCAGACTTTGTGCCATTTGTTTCATGAGTTAATCAATAAAATTAGGAAATTATTAAAGACGGTAATCTTTTCTTCCAACACTATTCGCTTGCTCAAATCGTTGGGTGTACGCCAGGCAGACTCTTTGGACGCTCGTACAATACTTATGAACAGTACATGAAATCCCAAAAGTACGATGTGGATGCGCGTGTACTGAAATAAACATAGACTGATATTTAAATCATTACTATTTTCATCAAAATGAAAAAAATTAATTCTTATCTCGTTCAAAAAGATTAAATTTAATTTCGGATTCCTAAAATCTAGGAAAATGTTTGTTCTCAATATTTGTACATCAAAATTAAACGATTCATTCTGAGTATGATTTATAGAGATGAAATGAATATTGCAGATTTGCTGAAGATTTCATTGATACCCATATTAAAAAAAATCTCCATCCTCAGAGAAAATCTCATCCTCCACCTTCAAAAATATCAAATACCGGGCTTTTAATATCGTTCCAAACAGCTAAATACTTTGGAACTATATGAAGCTACTGTACGAGAATTCAAAGATCCCTAGATTATCCCGATAATAAGTACAATTTTAAGGCGAATGAACATAGTGTCATGAAATTATATTTTCGTTTAATAATGACTGCTTTATTGTATCAAATAATTATTATAAAAAACAAAGTCTAAATAATAAATAAAAATAAAAATAAACAGTATAAATAATAAATCTAATAAAAGCAACTCCCATTCATCATATATACTCAAAAGTATGCAAGTGTATTTCAGTTCTATTATACTGATGGAATATTTGTTAAAAATAATCGGCAAGTTGTCAAATTTAGATATAGAAGAACCTGCCTCCAAACGTTTCGAGCATTATTTCAGTGAAGGTTTGTCCAGTAGGCTGAGGTACACCCATCGAGATACGATGTGCATATTTTGTAGTATGTCGATCTTTATTTTTGCAGTATATTGTAGATTGTGATTTCCTCTTGTACAAATCTATTTTTCTTTCCTGTACCAATTATTAGTGGTGAATGTCTAAGCATGAAAAGTTGTTGTATTTGATTATCCTTAGTAATCTTCAGAATCCTGAGATAATAATTCATTTTCTCTCACTCTATCCTTTGTTCGATTTACGATTTATTCCTAGGTCACTTGCAAGAAATATTCTTGTGAGATAGAATATCTCAACAATTTCCACGGCAGATAAAGAAAAGTTGTTACTACTCATGCCCTGCTAATGTAAATATATCCTTGTCAGAAAACATCAAAGTACTTTTTCTGATTGTATTACGGAAAATAATATAACTGAATCAAACGATGGGTTATCCGTTTTTCAAAATATTATACAAGTTGCTGTAAACATACGTTTCCAGAAGTAAAACAATATGGATTTCCTGAGGTAATTTTGGAGACAATTGATCCCACTTATAGAACTCAAACATTAAAAGTCATTCATTAATACATTACTCAATACATTAAATCAGACTAGCGAGTGTATCCTTTCGGACATTTCAGACTTGTCAGGAGAAAAGATTTCATTGTAATATTAAATCTTCACAATGTAAGTTGCGTTACACATCAAACAAGATGTTTTCTTGGTTATTTCTAGTATTCATAATATCAGAATTTACTAAAAAAACATGCACCCTGAGACTGTTGGTATCTAGAGATCAGAAAGTAGGACGCCGTGAGTGTATTGTTAATTTCAACCACGTTTTCTTCACAGAAAATTTGGAAATCCGGAATCTTTGACTGTGATTTGTGGTGAAGACTAGGAAAACTACTGTCTTACATTAAATGTTACAATTCATAATGTTACATACATATCATAAATGTTGGGAACATATTGAATTCTGCATTCGCTCGCAAGATATCTGATAAGTTGTGAAGGTCACAGCTCGCCCTTTTCGTTCTCTCCGTAAACGTCAAAATCGCACGCTTATGGCATTGGCTTAGAGATTTTTCGTTACGATTTAAGTTCACTTTGTTAAGAGTCAACTCCAACTTGCAAATATCGTGTACGATGGAAATTCCAAAGCTCTCTGTCTATTCCCAGTCATTAGAGAGGACAGTGTCAATATGAGAACTGCCTCTGAACTGTTGCGTGAAGCTTGTATGGCGTTTGAGGCGGTTTCGAATCGAGTTCAGTAATTTAGGCCTGCAGCAGCAAAAATACTGTCTTCAAGTGTGTGAAAAATTGGATCCTGGGGCAGCAAAAATTGGCTGTTCTGAAATGGCACAAGTCATTACACCATCAGGTATGAGAAACTGCAGATTAACATAATCAAATATTTGCATTATTGAGTCAAAATATAAATATTTCTATTTGTATTTTCCATACTTCCTAGATATCTACGTAAGTACCTAGTAAGGCGAGAAAGTAAAAGTTACAGATAGACACGTACACATGCATAGAACAGAAAATAGATGCGTATTGCACGAACCTTTCATATTCCGTTTTATGTAGTTTTTGAGGTTCGGAATGTGGTCGCATTTTCACCTCTGCTTAGGGCCGAAGTCCTTTGGATTGACGTCTGGAACTGCTCCAGATTTTCACCTCTAGGTGTCCCCAACTGTTAGGTATTAGATATTTAGGAAGTTGGATACAGCGATTCTCCTGCCTCCTGCCTTTTTGAGGTAGGGCCTTATTAATAGCTTGAGAGGCCTCAAGTTCGACGAAACTATGGGGACCCTCTAATAGCATTAAAATATTAAACACAGTTCATGAAAATTAAAACAAAAATAAATTCTAACATTTGCAATTTAAAAAAGTACTAAACTATTTCAATATTTTTATGAACTGATATAACTTCCTTTTTAAAAAAATATTGGAGCCCTAATCCCTTGATTGGTCTTCTGATGCATTAATCCACCCCTGTTCTTAGGCTCTAAAAATGGCATACTGAAAAGATTCCTAATAATTTGCCAAGTTTCCTAGTGGGAAGAATCCCTGCCTTATTACCAGGGCTTGAATTCTGATGACCTGAAAATTATAAAACAGTATGACCTATAAAATGACTGAAAAATAAGAGGAAAATTATCTTTAAAATATCTTACAAATAAGGGAAAATAATACAATTTTCTTAAACATACTAATAAAATTTGTACTAAAATGTTCACTTATTCAATGAATTTTATAATTTTAAATAAAATTTATTTATATAAAATTATATTTAATATAAAGTCTTTATTTCAGTAGGAAATACAATCTTTAGCATCGATGTTCCAACTGTCAGTTTGGAAGGTCAAGGATGTTTCTAAAGATCCATGTAATTTTGAGAGTTCGAGAAACTGAGTTCCTTGAGGTAGTGAATTACTTTATGAATTGATGATAAAATTAAACTTTGTCAATTCATGAAACCTTCACGAACAAAAAACATGAAAAGAAATCAAAATGCGTGCAAATTACAAAAATGATGCAAAGTCCTAAGAAAAATGGCCTAAAAGTTGGAAAATGACAGAAATGAACAGTTATTGAATCATTTTTATCAACTTCTGGTCTTGATGAACATTCATTTACAAGTTAACTAGGTCTGGAATACACCAATGAAAAGATGACGTCATCAGAATCCGAGCCCTGCTTGTTACTCAATATCTCGGAGAATCCAAATCCAAACCCAGGGATCATCCCAGGTGGTGACAACACATGAGCCAATACATAGTTGCAGACCACATGATTGCATACTTTCTTGTTTCCATGGGTAAGAAGAAATTTTTAAGGATCATTAACTAAAATGTATATTTCTGTTGTTTCGGATTAAATGAAGCCATATTACAATTATTGCATTTTGTACAGTCATTAGTATGGTGTATTTTATAATAAGTTAGTATGTACTTCCAAAACTGCTTTAAAATTATAAAACAGTGTAGTTTATATTTTATTATGTTTTGAATTTCATTTGTGTGCATGTTAGTTCATTGAGAGATTCTGAGACTATTCCAACACATTTTGTCAATTGTTTTGTGACTCTACTTCACAAAAAATATTTTAGTTTGCTAATGCTAATGCTCAAAAGCAAAACAATAAAGTTAACAATCAAATTGAACCACACAGTAATGAAATAAAAAAAAATTACAAAATTATAAATTAAATAACAGATTATTAAATATTTATAATCTACTATATACAATCTTTTTTGTTGTTTAATTTGTAAACTGTTGTTTAGCATATAATAACTGTGGTTATAATTAATTGTAAACAGTGTTGTTCTGCTTTCACAGCCCTAATGAGAAAATAACACATACTGAAGCATTGACTAACTAATTTTTTTTTTCTATTCACAAAT